AGTTCCAGAGGGTGGGGCACAGCCATGACTGGGAGATGTAGTTAAAGATTCTCCCAGAGGGTGTGTGCAGCTTTGCACCTTCAGTTCTTCCCTGACGGGGAAGGGCACAGCTGCAACTGGGAGGGTTGGCAGTTCCATCACCACCTAGACCCTCAGGGTACAGTGTAACAGCTGCTCTCAACTCAGTTTGGGGAAGTTAGTTCAAAAGCATCTTAGTCTCTGCAATGAAAGGGTACTACTCACCCCTGGGTTGACACCCTATAGCAGCAGTTCCAGTTCCAAGGTGGCAGGGCACAGTACTGGCTCCTCTGAGGAGCATGACTGTGTAGACTCTAGGCAGCTTCCTCAGCTAGGCATAGTGCCTATGAAGACTATCAGGTCCCCAGTGGTGGGGACAGTAGGTGCCCAAGGTCACAAATTGTACTCTTTCATTCATAGTACATTCTTGGTATAATATAATATTATATAAATATTGGTATAATACAAAATTATCTTCCAAAGTAAAATTTGCCCTTCAAGAAGACATTTAATTTGGGGCTTTATATATCCATGGTACAAAATCATAAACCCTGTTTGAGAAACACAAGTTTAAGGAGACCATGGGGTCTCCCCAGAGTTCATGTAGCACACCATTTTTAACAATCTCTACAGGCTAATTTATCAAAAATATCAACGTAACCCACAGCCAAGAAGCAAAAAGGTTCCTAGGGACAACATGGAAAGTTGTCAGATCACATGAAGAGAGACCTGAGAATTCTCAATGGCAACTAAAATTAGGCATAAATTAAGACCAACACATAGTTTCAACACACTCACTGGGAAATAATCCACTAGAATCTGAGGGTGCAAGAGAAATAAAATAAGCCGTGCATGTATCTCTCACACAGGATTTACGCTTGACAGCCAGTGAAGAAGAGAATCTTTGTGACCTCCTGTGGACACTCTCCAGGATAATGTAGGAAACTTTCACAGTAGGGGAGGTGTAGGTAAGTGTAGAGGATGTCTTCTCTAATGGGCTTTGGCGAATGCTATTATACACCATGGGTGGGCCTACTTACCTATTCATTTGTTCATTCAATATGCTCAAGAGAGTATCACGGAATATTGGTTTCTCTTTCAGCTCAAGATCCAAAAGGAAAAAAAAAANTGAAACGAGTCAGGATGAGAAAAAGAAGTACCACATGTTCTCACTTATTGGTGGGAGCTAATAAAAAATAAACAAATTAATTTACCCACAAACACACACAAAAAAAAAACCGGGGTGGTGGGGGTGGGGAAGAAGATATAACTACTATACTTTTTTTTGAAGTTGTTACAACAAGCAAACGGAAAGGACATTCTTGGGGGGGAGGGGAGAGAGGGAGGAGGGCGGGAGGTGTCGGTGAAGGGCCATAATAATCATATACATTGTATATTGACAAAATAAAAATTTTTTAAAAATTAAAAAAATAAAAAATAAATAAATAAATAAATAAATAAATAAAAGAAAGAAAGAAAGAAAGATAAGCCGGCCCGTGGCACACTCGGGAGAGTGCGGCGCTGGGAGTGCAGCAGAGCTCCTGCCGCGGGTTCGGATCCTATATAGGGATGGCAGCTGCGCTCACTGGCTGAGCAAGGTGTGAGCGACACCAAGCCAAGGGTTGCGATCCCCTTACCAGTCACAAAAAGGACAAAAAAAAAGAAAGAAAGATAAAATCAAATCAGTGTATATGAGGACTAAGATGTCTCACAGAGTTTAATGTTGAATACATTGGAAACATCTTTTACAATTATATTGGAAATTATCTGTCAAATCCATTCATCACGAATTCCCTGTGGCTGATAGTTTTCCTGCAAGGTTTGTTTTTATTTATTTGTTGTTTTTAATGTCAAGATTCATCTATAAGTCAAATACATGGAGCTCAGTTTTGTCAGTTTTGATTTTGGGTCAAAGTCTGCGGATCTGAGTTCAGACTCCCTGCAGCTACTGCCTTGTTCCAAGGGTAAGTGGCTGCACTCTACATTACTACTTTACCATCCTGTTGAGGAGAGAGGTTTCTTGCTTGGAAAGACAACGAATGTGAAGTTCCCATAGTGGGAAACCATTCTTTCATAATATCTCACCAAAATAAGCATCAATGCAGGTTAGCTCTTCATAATCATCCTAATTTAAAAAATTAAAAATCATTGATCCTCCTCTTTCAGTTTCCTTCTACTCTTGGTTTCTTGTCCACCAGACTACAACCTGCTTTGACATAACCAGCTCCATAGAAAGGTTGTGTTTGCTTCTAGATGGGTAGATCATAGAACACTTAATGTATGACTAATTTGTTGAGACTGCAACAGCTGCATAATCATAAATATATTTATCTTGTTTAATATAACCTCACTGAATAGAAGGGATTTTTTCTATTTTATTGTGTTGAATGAGTAAATATAAATACTATATTTTTATACCACTTCTATCAAAAAGAATTTTAAGGAAAATTCTTATTAATCAAAACAGTTAAAAGTATAATGTTAATTTTCTGGAGATTCCAATACGTTAAAGCTATTATTATGCTCTTTTCTCTGAGTTGCATAAGATTCTTGAAAATATATCTTTTGGTGTTCTAAAGGAAACAAAAGCAAATTTTGGAATATGTGTTATATTTTTTTAAACAACTTTGGTTCTCTTGTATCTTGTTA